TATATATATATATATATATATTGTTTATTTTCCAAAATTTTTACATTTTTTTAAAAACAAAAATAAATATTGATATATTTCAGTTTATTTACACACATTCTTTGTGTCTCATTCATATACTTAAAATATATATTTACAACTAATAAGTTGCAAAGAGACGTCATTTAACCAATTTATCTCTTTAGCTGCTAGAATGTTACCCTTAACTACATCCCATTTAATAAAAAACTAGATGGCTTTGAAAATGAAGACATTAGAACTACATACACTATTCAACAAATTACCCAGAAACATTCATTAACACGGGCATTTCACACACTATCTTGCAGAAGCTGCTTCAGACTTCGACATGGATGCTATTGAAGATGACACAGTGAGAATCTATCAAGAAATCGAACAATTCAAGAAAACGGATCTGCATGCCAACTGCTGTGTGCTGACTTAAATTGAAGCCATCTCCAATATATATAAAAAATTAAACATAAAACGTGGGTTTTTTTTAACTGACCATGTCCTTCACATACACTTTAAAATTAACAAAATGTGGATATTAAATTTAGAACATACTACCACGGGGCCAGGGGCGTGATTGTTATTATTTAGCTCGATATTAGTTAAAATATTCATACATAACTACATTTTATATCAAATTATCACTAGGCTATAAATCACATGAAACAATAGTCGGAACTCGTGCCCCCATAAATAAAAAATATATAATTAATATATATTTATTTCTTAGCAAATATCGAGTAACCTCTCTAATGTAACGTTGTAGTCAATGTGTCAATCATCGGTATAGAGCTTAGTAAGTGAGCATATTTGATGTGGAGATTAATTGTGTACATGTTGCTATACCCGTATTATTGATGATTGGTGTTTTGGCATAAGCAGTTGGTATGTGGAGAGAGCTGAATGAGTGAGGTATGTAGAGTAGTGCTGTAAATAAAGAACCTTATGAAGCATTAAAATTGATTTGCTGATAATTGCCTTTAATTATGACGAGATTTTGTAATCCCTAAGACTACAACTGATTCACCCAACTGTAACATTTAAAAAAAAAAAAAAAAAAAAATTTCCTTTTTTCAAAAATCCTTTAATAAAAAAAAAAAACAATAAAAATTCTTTAAAAAAAAAAAAAAAAAAAAAACTAACTTCCCTTTTTCAAAATGTCCTTAATTAAAAAAAAAAAGGCAAAATATATTTTAGACTCTGACATGGTTTCTTTGTAAGAACCAATCTCTGGAAAGAAAGTTATATTGCTCCCAACCTGAATAGGAAGTCGAAGAAATATGGCTCAATATTACAAAGATGACGTTTTAAGGAGGTATGACAAACCTGACTTTTTTATAACATTTCCGTATAGTCTTAATGGTATAGGGAGTTGGAAGGAGGCGAAACGACGGGGAAGAGCTATTGAGGGGATTTAGGAGTTGGTGGAGAGCGATGGTGGACACTTGCAGGGAGGTGGGAAAAAAGGAGAGTCAGGACGTGATGTGACCTCAAGTGGCGTGGAAGATCTCTGAATTGAATTTCTGTAAGTAGCGTAAGGCCAATCTCAGCCTCCGTACAGCCTCCTATTCAAGCTGGAGCTTTGTTTCGGCAATTGGGTTCAAAATTAAGTCTTTGAGTATAAAAACGTCATTCATATTGCATACAAAGTCGGATATGTATTAGCATTTGCAATAAACTATGACATTCCGAAAATTGAACTTAGTTCTTTTTTTAAAAAATTAAGATGCTTCCTAAATGCCAGCAACAAACCAACTGCTGAAGATATTTCTACAAAAACAAATATGTATTTCTGAGATTTAAAGACAAATTAGGGATGAAATGTCAGCAGACCAGCTTCAAGCAGAATGTACAGCCAATGCAGTAAGTATGAGGCCGCAGCGCAAACGAGCCGCAAAATCAACTTTAACAAAATATCCACGCAAACGTAAATGACATGAGTTGCACGCCAAAAATCAAAGTCTTTGGAGTAAAAAAAATGCTTCATCGCTGTGCTTCCAGAAATCTCCAAAAATTTGAAAATTTTTATCTTGCTTAGTAAATGCTAAATAACGATTTTGCATAGCCAGGAATTTCAAAAATTAACAAAGAAAGGTTCAATAGCAATAAAAGAAAAAAAGGATGGACCCTCCCTTAAGAAATACATGAATGGATCTATTAAAATTCCAAAATGTTCATGGAAAAAATAAGAACCTACAAAAGTACAATGACCTTTGCCTCAGTGAGAGCACAGTCAGTTACCTGAGATTCAGGAACTTATTTTTAAAAAGAATCCATGGGCAAATTTATCTCGCGGCATATTTATTTAGCCCCTTATCCATAAATTTGACCGAAAGAGATTTCATCGACGGTAAATTAATCGACGGTAATTTGTTCGAACGGAAATTTGTTCGAAACTTTTTTTTTTTTTCAGGTTTTACTTTAAAATTTTGCTTCATATTTCTTTTTGAACGCAATATTTTGTTTTATAGTATAGTGCGTTCAAACAGAAATTTTACGAAATTTTTATCGTGTGAACTGAAATAAAGATTCGACCAAATTTCCGTTCGATCAAAGTTCCGTCGATCAATTTACCGTCGACGAAATTTCTTTCGATCAAATTTCCGGTAAACATTTAACTCAAATCAAAGGGAATCACAAAAGAATACCCAATTTTACATTTTGGATTCGGCAAAAGCGTTGACAGACAATATTAATTATCAATCAAATAATGGATTCAAAACAATTTCGCATATATCAATCAATTTTCTAGGGAATAAAAACATGCTCAAATTTGAACAAGACGGAATGCCAGAAGGTAAATAAAGAAAACCTAACGCCAGTTGGATATGGCATGGCATTCTTGGAAGAAAGAAGACATAAAGTGCACGCCGGTAGAAACAAAGAACGCTCCAGCTACTAGAGAAGGCGTTGCTGCCCAAAAAATTTCGGGATATTAGAATTCATCCGAAAAGCGGAATTCTACCAAATATATCCATCCTCAATAGACACTTTGACCTAATCTGATACCATTTGCTTGTAGAATACGGGGACTGTGAAATCCAGACATGATCTTTTAAAGAAACCAGGGTATTTGTGTTATTATTTTAGCCAAGATTTATTCCTGCACGTTTTAGCCTGAACTTCCCTTTATATAAACACGGAAAACATGTCCATTTAGACCTGCTTTTGCTATGATCATGAGCAAAAGTCAAGGACAAATACTAAATTTAGTTGTTTTTTTTTTTTTTTTTTTTGCAATTTTAATTATTCAGTCATCAGACAATTTTCCTTTGCATTTTCAAGAAAACATTTTTTTGAGTAAAAGTCGTAGGAACTAGCCAAAGAACAGCGTAAAGAAAAATTTTTTTTTTTTTTTTTTTTTTTTTTTTGCAATATTAATTATTCAGTCATCAGACAATTTTCCTTTGCATTTTCAAGAATACATTTTTTTGAGTAAAAGTCGTAGGAACTAGCCAAAGAGCAGCGTAAAGAAAAATCACAACGTTTGCACCCAAAATGAAATCAACAAACAAACAAGTGTTTGCCAAAAGATTAAACTTCAGTGCTAGCCATGGCTTTATCAGTATGTGCCAATAAAAATGCGACCCCATACAACGTACAACAGGCGCTTCAGCTACTCTATAACATAAATCAGTTAGCATTGTGTCTGTCATTGGCACATACATTTGTTAGGGAGCATATCTGGTTTCGAGATTAATTATGAAGATGAAGCTATGTAGATTTTGTACTGGGGACGTATTTTTGGGCGGTGAGGGGGGGGGGAGACATGATATCAACATATATTTAATGAAACTCAAATAATCTGCTCCTTTGCACTGCACTACTTGCAAAAGATGGTAATTAATTTTCATAGTATGATTTTTGTGTAATTTACAGGAAACAATATTCTCAAAATTCATAAAGATTCGCAAAAAAGTCACCCACTTCGAAATGTACATACAAGTAAAAGTAAATAAAGAAAAAAAACTGTTTTATTTATTATTTTGTTGTGGACAATAACATTTAAAAGCATATTAATTATAGTCTTTCTTATAAATGATCAATATGCTTTCCTCACAGTGTTTGAAAATGGAATTTGATTTTCAATCGAAAAAGTTGTATTATTATTTTTTTTTTTGATTATTCATACTCACTTGTATAATAAATAATGTGTTTTATTGAGCGTGGTGTGTCTTTGGTGTCAGATACGAACGATTTTTGTGTCATTAGTCTGTGACGCATCATGACGAGTTTTTTTGTAGCTGTGACGTAGTGATATTACTCCGTTTTTTGTGTGTGTGTGTATGTGCTATTTTTTTTAAAGTTGATGTGAGAGCATTGTGAAAGAAGGTTGTTTTACATACTTCTTATTATATCGATTTCTAACTTATACAAGTATTTGATTCGTTGTACAGCAGGATATATGTTTTCTGGATTTAAAAAAAAAAATTAAATTGCTCTTGGAAAAAGGGTACTTGTGTTCAGTTTAGTGATAAAGAACGTGTGATCAACGTGTCTCAACCAACTCACATTGAATGCAGGCTAAAATGTATTTTTTTAAACTTCTCTCAATAACTAGCTCATTATTTAAGGTCATATTTTTTAAATGAAAATAATGCCATAAAAATTAATTATAAATAAATAAAGAATAAAAAGAGGGGTTTTAAGGGATATTTATATTTTAAATCGAATCATTTTGTATTTGAAATTATTAAACATACTTGGCCCTTTGTGATCTTGATTCAGATTAAGTGTGGGGAAAAAATGAAACGAATATAGACTTAAAAAATAAATAAACTCTTGGTACGTCGTCAAAAACCATTTTGTTCATTTCAATAAGGGTCTGCTATTAAAATGTAAAAAGCAAAGAATAAAAAAACCCACATTTTTTGTCAAGAACCATCTATTCGTGTAGGAGTATTTGTTGTCAATTTCATATAAATGGATAATAGATGGAAAAAAAAAGAATTTGGGGCTCCAGGCCCCAAACGGAATGTTATAAAAAGTTCATAAACCCTTATGAGTTCCTTCCGGATAATGATGGATATGTGTGCCACGTTTGGTCAAGAGCCATCAATCCATTTCAAAGCCTTTGTGGAACAAAGCCACAGACAAACATTCACTTTTATATATGACAAGCCGAGATACCGGGCGCGGCCCAGGATTGCATTAGGACCCCATCCTTTTGGGATGTGTTTTATGTTTTGTCACGATACTTCTATTCATGTAGGAGTATGTGTTGTTAATTTAATTTATAAAGCTCAAATAATTTTAAAAAAAAAAAACAATTCGGAGCCCCAGTCCCAAACGGAATGCTATTAAAAGTTCACAAACTCTTAAGAGTTCTTTCTGGATAATGATGGATGTATGTGCCAAGTTTGATCAAGCTCCATCAAACCATGTAAAAGCCTTTGTAGAATAAACCCACAAACATTCACTTTGAAATATATATATGATGTGATATGATCGAGTTTTCAATGTAAATTTAAGATTTTGTTTTTTGACAATGTTCAGAAGAAAAAAATATTGTCAAAGTACACAAAAAGGGGTAAATCTAAAGTATTTATCTAATGTACAAAAAGTCTCTCAATTAACTTCTTAATGACAAAAGTTATTTAAATAGTGATAATTTTGTTTGGGTAATTTAAGGTCGTGTTTATAGGGGGAAAGTTAGTTCAAGGACGTGAAAGGGCAAAACGAAAGCAGGGTAGGTGTATAATGTATACCAGATAACTACTTTTTAAAAGTTAATAATTTTAGAAATGTAAATATCATTACATAGATACTTCTTTATAAAGTTGGGAATTTTGATGAGTTTTTGCAATAGCTGGTAGAAATTATCGCAAAGGACCTACCATTATTGTCCCGATAACATCGTGTCATATATTCTATGTAATAAAAAGAAAACAAGATGCATATGGATAAAAAAACACGATGCTGTATAAGAAAATAAGTGCATCGGAATCGAACTCAAAAGGATCAAGCATAGTGGTACAGTCGAAAAACAACTGATGAAAATGGGTTGACATGGATGTAAGATAGTAAATAATAAATGATTTTTAAACTTAATGTAAATTTGACAAAATTTTGTAAAACAAATAAATAACATTTTGTGCAGAGGCGTCATTTCAGGTTTTTCACAAAAAGGGTGGGGGGCAAAAACAAAAACGTGGTCGTCTTGTTTAGCTGTTTATTACTGGAGGCGCCACAGTACATAGCATTTTAAATAAAACCTGCAAATTCAGGGAAATGCCACCCTAAGTTACCCAAATTACGTCCCTGCTTTCGTTTTCCTAGAAATTTCAAAATTAAAACCAATAAAATTATTTAAAAAAACCCATTAAATATGCTCATTATTTCGTTTTAGGAATTCTCTCTGCGCTAGAAACTTTTCCCGTCCTCCATATTCACTAACAAAAATGATAAAACTTTTTCGACAAGAAATCACACAAAAATATCTAACATTTTCTAAACAACTTGATATCCTAGGATTTTACAATTACTTTCTATTGCAAAACTAGGCATACAAAAAAAATAATAATAAAGACATTTATCGTCAAGCCTGACTCGTCACTGTTAATAAACTCTCTTTAAAAACGATTGAGACGCATCGCCTGTTAAGTCGTACTGTACAAAGCTCAAGTGGTGTGTTGGTCTCAAGTAAGGACTACACATATCAAAATACTACACTAATCATTCCTTTATGGAAAGACCGCTTTTTTATGATGAAGAAAGCTACTTAATTTTATTTTACGAAAAAAAAAATGAAAGTTACGGAACCAGCACTTATAAATATACTTTGTAGCTTAGTGACAGGTAGGTGTTTACAAAAATAATTAAAATATACAAGTAGAGGAAATAATTTTAAAAGTTGGGTTTAAAAAAAAAGATTGTATTTATTCCCATTTCTTAGAATAAAAAATCATTTATTAATTGTAAATAATATTAATAATATTTGTACCCTTGCAGAGGTTTTATTACTTTGTAACACAGCAGAAGAAGGGAAACCACTCGTACTTACCTCTAACTTTACACTGAAAGAAAAGACCATTTTATTCTTTCAAAATAACATAAAAATGGCAAATTGCAGAGGTTGCAACAAATGCCTTGTCACCTTTCCCAATCATTCATTTTCAAATATTACAAGTCTAAGTAATGGAAGATGCATTTACACATTTACTTATCTCCACGTTACAAGACAACCTGCTTCCGTGTGGATCGTTAAAGATAATGAATTAAATGGAACTGTAATAAATACTTGTAACTTACAAGTCTACGGTAATGATATTATTTTTTTAATTGAACATTTGTATTGTAGTTTTAATATCTTATTATCACTTATTTAATCCAATGGATCAATTTATAGATTTCTTCAGCTGCTATAGCTAAAGAGAAAACAACATTTTAATCAATTATCTCCAATACCACTTACTTATTTACTGCACCTGTTTCAAAGCATTTTTCGAAGAAACCGCTCATTTTATAACAATTGGTTACATTTAACAATGGAAGCTATGTTTCCGGAGCATCCGATATTTCTTTAGATTTTAGATGTTCCATTTGATATGTAAATGTTGAAATATTCTTGTAACGAGGCCGTTAATGGATATGATTTTTAACGTAAAAAGTGGCCTACCTCAAAAATAAGCACAGACATGTTTTTAAAAGAAGCCTATTAAATGTGCGATAAGTCTAATTAGTACAATTTTTACCAAAGTCACGTCTCTCATTTAATACATATCGACAGGTAGTTTTTGTGAGCTTTAATATCCACACATTTTTCCCAAAAATGTTCTTCTAATTTCCGTATGTTATGTTCTTTTTAAAGATATGATATATGATGTTTGTTTCTCTCTGCCTGATTTGACAATGATTTGTTCAACATCAAAGGTGGATTCCATTGGCAAATATTAATATTCTCTTATATTAAATGGGCTTGAGAAAATATGTGACGGTTTTGAATAATGTATCCCAAAGTAATTACCATAAGCGATTTAATGAAATTAATTTTTGTTTAAAAGGTAATTTTAATTTCCGTTTTTTTAGCTCCACCTAAAGATGTGATATGTGATGTTGGGTTCTCTCTGTCCGATTTAATGGTGATGTGTTCAGGAGCTAGGATGTATCCCGTTGGCAAATGTCATCATTCTCTTACATTGGATGGGGTAGTGTAAATTAGAGAAAATGTGTGCTATTTTAATCTTTTATTCTCATGTAAATGTCATAAAAAATTGCATGTAACTTTATAAAATCTGCTAACTACAAAACAATTGTATTTTTCTGATGATGCAAACATTATTGATATGCGAACGATGGCAAGCAAAAATAAATATATAGTTCAGAATTTCATTTAATTTGTATGTAAAATTTATTTTATACTTTGGAAATATATTTAACCAAACGTGTTGAAACTAATTATGACAGTTAATTTAGTGCATACTGTTAGCCTACATCTTTATACGGTTTTTGGACAGTTTTTAATAGCAAAAATATCTTTGAAAAAATTCTAGATTTAAAATAAAATTACTGAAAAAATTTGTTTGCTGGCTCATTTATGATTTAGCCTCTTGTTCATGTTTTATCTTCTTTAACAGTTAAGACGTTGGCCAATAATTGCTTTTTATGAATAACTTACTAATAACATTTTTACTTTGTTTAAATTTAATGGAGCTCAAAAATTTAAAAAATTAAATATTTTTTTTATATAAAACATTTGAACAAATTCTTTTAACGATTTGATTCCACTTTCTAAAAATGTATTTTAAAACACATTGAAAGAAACTCTTTAAGTTAACGTGCAATAATAAATCTAATAAAAATACTATTAACTGTTAATTATCATTAGTTTACGAAATGATCATATTGCTAAAACACAAAAAAAGGTTTTTAAAAAGTATAAAATAAAAGTGTATATTATCATTTTTTAATATTTTTTTTATATAAGAATACCAAGTCATCCCATCTTTTAAGTATGAGCAATAGCACTAGTGAGTGTTGGGGCTCGCCCGCATATTGTCAGACCAACTGTTCTCTAAACATCTTCACCAAAAACATGACCATCGGTCAGTATGAGTTTTTGGTTACTGTGTACCCCGTTGTCAGAGGTTCATTAGGAGTCTTGAGTTTTGGAACATCGTGGAAACTTATCTTCAGAGTAGGTGAGTTGAAATGAAATAAGAATAACATTTGTTAAATGCTCACGAAATTGAAACGTTCTATTAACATTTTATAAATATATAATTATAACTAATCAAAATGCGACACGCCTCAGACGTAAAAGAAAACGAAAATCTACAGACATTCTCAGAAGGAATACTTAAATAAAAATATAAACTAAGAGAAATTATATAATGTAAAAAAAAATCAGAAACCTTTTAAATATATGGAAGAGAAAATACACGGCCCATTATAGGATGAATGTGTCTGCAAGACATTATATAGAATTGCAGGAATTATATAGAAGTGATCAGGATCCCACTTTAGTGACAGAAAAAAAAAAATAAGGCTACGCTAGGCGGGACACTTAAAAAGAGTGCACTATAAACACACCGAGGCTAAGATGGATAATTTAGGTGGAAAAAAGATCTACTGCAGCAGAGTTTCAGGAATGGGATGAGTCGGGTTAGTGTTGGGTGACATAATTGTCTCAAGATGACTGTTACTCTTGCAGATTAGTTACTTTTAAAATATCTAAAATTAAGTACTTACAATTTATATGTAAACTTAACATACGTGTTACAGTAAATTTTGTATTGCACAGCTAAGAGCAGTGACATTTATTTGATATTAGATGTTAAATTCAGCAAGAGGTCTTGAATTGTAATGTTATTTTTAAAAAAAATATTCTTGTTTGTACCGATATTACGACCAATGAGAAGCAGTACAAAAATATATTCTGTTTTGGATTTGTAATTGGTAAATATTGGCTTACCATGCATTTCGATTTTAATGGGGCAAAAAAGTATAGGCCTACTTCTATATTTGATAAGAATTGATGTTTTTTACTTATTTTATTTTTTTTTCCAGCTGAAACGGTCTTACAGGATTCATTGAACTGTGTGTCTTTTGAAGAAAATATGGCGTGCTGGTGCAAGGAATTAACAATCAGTGAAAACATGGCAATTTATTTTTTATGCACTGATATATCATCCAGCAAATCGAATGGTAATTAAAATACATTAGGGATCTATGAACAATACTCCATAATTATATGAATTAAATGTGCAGCTAGTTTTAGTTACTAAATTTGATTAAAGGAATGGTATGCATAATGCCCATTGAACTAGTAATCCAGCAAATAATACTTCAAATATTTTATTGTTCACGAATGGGAGAAAAATCGTTGATAGCTTAATGCGTGTTGCACCGCTCAACCAAAATAAAATACGAACCTTTTTTTTTTTTTTTAATCAAACCCAAAGATGGATTTGTCGTTCATTGCATCAGGTAAGATTTTCTTTTTTTAATGGGATGTAATTGTTGCGTTTAGTTCTTCATCATATCTATTTCTATAATGTAATGATATCATACTGTGTATTTTTTTTCCCTTAAACCTATTTGTTTTCTAAGCTTGAGACCTTCATAAACCTTAGTAATATTTGAGTTATGCATAATAAATTTACTTCTTTTCAATGGAGCTGCCCTTTTTCATTACACTGGATTTCTTAAAACTACACTTATTTTAGATAGTGTATTATTTAGTGTTGCACGTTGCGTTGTATTATATTTATTATAAACAATGATATTTATAAAAATTCAGAAGGTACTACTTTATTTTCATTCAGAATTATTGGAATGGCATTATTTTAAATTTAAAATAAGATTAGATTTACGTGCGTAGGTAAATGACCCATAGAATTTGAAAGGTTAGTGGCAATACATTTAAAATGGGCATTTCATTGAGTTGTAATTATTAATTAAAGTTAAGTAACTTTATGTATTATATATTTCAGGGGTGGACTAGACCAAATGGACTTTGGGAAAATCAATATGTGCAGGTGATCTATGCGCCGCTTCTACATGTGATATTAGGGCTGCCTGGGAAGCTTATGTCTGTGAAATTATGGCCGCTTTTACAATCCATTAACATGGGTTTATTAAATTTTAATTTACATTGAATGCTCAATAATAATTTGCTATTTAACAGAGAATATTCAAAATGTTTATGACTCTAAATATATTGTTAAATTGTGTCTATAATTAGACATATGTTTCCAGTTATCTTTAGTGTTATGACTGTCTCACTGAACGGTTAATATGTTACCTTAGCTGAAAACATATCTCCAAAGAAAACAGATGCCTAAAAAGGGCCTTTATAAATTTTATCCCCGACTGCTTGGACATTCAAGTCCAACACTAATGGTTTTGACATCAATGCTGCTAAAGGATATCTAAAGGAATAGTTTTTTAATAAAGATAAAATAACGTACTGATATGATGGCACTTAAAAACATGTATCAGAACAACTTACAATAATAGTTAAATTACAATAGTAAATAAACACTGTTAGAGTTTTTTTTTTTTAAATAAGATATTATCTTCATCAATATTTCAACCATTCTCTTTACCAAAATGTTAAAATAGCATTGTGTCTAATATTTCTTAAATAATTTAGAAAAATGGGCAAATTATTTTTATGTTCTATCCATGGTGATTTTTCCTATTACTCATTATTGTTTCGTCAAAATTAGGAAAACGAATTTTGAATGACTCACGACTTCGTGTGTGAACAAAGAATGTGAGTCAGTTTTTGCCAGGAAGCTAATGTCCCTACCAGAGAAATTAACTTTTATTGTGGGGCTGTGTATGTCTTTTTAATATTTATGTAGTATTATAGCGGTGAAGTGTAAATAAAAACAAAGCTTAAATCTGCCATGTAAAGTATAAAATGATATTATAAATATATTCAAAATTAAAATTTTTATACAACGCCGATTCCGTTTTAGGTATTTTATTGCAACAAACACAAGGTGACTTCATTTAAACAAGGTTGTTAAAGAAAGTAACACTATTGCGAGTGACATAATTTTAAATATACAGCTATAAAAACACATTGAATCATAAAAGAAATGTTTCAAAATCAATCTATTATTTGAAGCTACAAACATCATTCTTTTTTATGTAGATTTATTTAAAATAGCTTTATAAGGGTATTTTTCTGTTTGTATGTTTTACTTTAAAATTTAATGTATTTTTTGTATTCTTTCAAGCCTCATTAAAAATGTAACTTAAAATATTACAATTAACATACTTGGACAAAAGTTTTAAAAGGCTATTCATATTTTAAAAAAGGAAAAAAATAGTAAAAGACAACGCTGCTAAAGAAAACGAAGTTATTTTGAATACAATATTATGCAGCTGAAGCTTTTGCGTGACAGATACAATCATGTTAAACAAATTACACAAGTAAATTAAAAACTGACATCTGCTTAAATTAACATTTTATTCAAGCGCTTTGGGTTACTGCTATTTGGAATCTCATACATCTCATAACATTCTGTTTCGTTGACATTGATTAAACGATAGGAGTATCGAGCAGACGTTGGTGAACGAGTTAAGCAACTGAGTTGACACTGCAAACTATAACTGGATACATTTTTGATAAGACACATAGGGGTCTAGTGTATATTTTATAACACGTTGTTTTGCTTTTTAAGATTATGTAATTTAATTTCTATTCGGTTACAAGTTTAATTTTAATGTTAAAGCTTTTTATACATTTATCCGTTATAATTATTTTTCTAAAATTTTTATTTTTGTCTGGCTGCATTAAGACAGAAATAGGAAATGAGATGTGTCTTACTTTTCTGGATACTTTAAATGTATCTTTATGTTATTTAAACTAATAAATAAATAAATAAATAAATATATATATATATATATATATACATATATACACAAAATTTCATTACAAAACAAACATATCTCAACAGGGTTGATATTTTACACTCAAGAAAATGACATACTTTAAATTTATCTTTAAGTTATTTAAATTAATATATAAATAGATATATATATAAAATTTCATTACAAAACAAACATATCTCAACAGGGTTGATATTTTACACTCAAGAAAATGACATCTGA